TAAAAGCCAGATGGTAAATATTGTTGGCTTTGTAAGCCTAATGATCTCTGTCATGACAACTTAACTCTGCCACTGGTACTGCAAGCAGCCACAGACAACATGTAAATGACAGAATGAGGCTGCATTCAGTAAGACTTCATTTCTGGACACTGAAATCTAAATTCTTACAATTTTCATGTATCACAAAATATCATCCTTGTATTGATTTTTTTTTTGAACCAGTTAAAAATGTAGAAAAACATTTTTAGTTCATGGGGTCATATAAACACAGGCAGTGGGCCAATTTGGCCCATGGCATGTTACTGAGTCCTAAAGGGATTCAAAACCACAGGTTGAGGCCAGGCGTGGTGGCTCACGCCGTAATCCAGCACTTTGGAAAGCCAAGGCAGGTGGATCACCTGGAGGTCAGGAGTGCGATACCAGTCAGGAGTTTGAGACCAGCCTGGACCAACTGGTGGAAAACCATCTCAGCCCAGGCGCAGGCCTCCGGCGGTGTATCCAAGGCACTTTGGTGAGGCTGAGGTGGGCGGGATCACCTGGAGGTTAGGAAGTTTGAGACCCGCGTGAGCCACTACGCCTGGCTATTTATTTTTTAGACAGAGTCTCATTCTGTTACCCAGGCTGGAGTGCAGTGGCACAATCTTGGCTTACTGCAACCTTTGCCTCCTGGGTTTAAGAGATTCTCCTGCCTCAGCCTCCCAAGTAGCTGCTGGGATTACAGGCGCCTGCCACCATGCCCAGCTAATTTTTGTATTTTGAGTAGAGAGGAGAGAGGGTTTCACCATGCTGGCCAGGCTGGTCTCGAACTCCTAACCTCAGGTGATCTACCTGCCTTGGCCTCCCAAAGTGCTGGGATTACAGGCATGCGCCACTGCACCTGGCCATACTGTTATGCTTTAAGTTACAAAAGTACTTCAACTCTAAATGTCAAATCTAATTATGAATCTAATTATCAATACCATGGGTTAATTTAGCTTCTGTTCATCTTCCTAGGGTTGGGATGATTCAATGAAACCTGCGTAGCAAATGAATAAAAAAATAGACTGTTAAATGTTTCCTGAATTCTCATTCTGAAACAGCTACTGGACTGACAGAACAGGTGGTGATGAGAGTGCGTTCCACGGCACGCTGATTTGTAATGTAACGCTTCATAGCACTGGGTGGGCTGCCCTGTACGTGTCAACTGTGTCACTCTTTCATGAAGAAAACATCCTGTCACTCATATTTATGTGTTCACTTCAAAACCAACCCTTTCTTTCCTAGTAGCCCCTAGGCACAGTCTCAAATCTCGTTCTTTTATGAGAGTATGTCAGACAAACCTGAAGGTGGAGGCATTCTTTTTTTTTTTTAAATTCTTTTTTTGAGACGGGGTTTTGCTCTTGTCACCCAGGCTGGAGTCCAGTGGCGCAATCTTGCTCACTCTGACTCCTGGGCTCAAGCGATTCTCCTGCCTTAACCTCCTGAGTAGCTGGGACTACAGGCATGCGACACCGCGCCTGGCTAATTTTTGTATTTTTAGTAGAGACAGGGTTTCACCATGTTGCCCAGGCTGGTCTTGAACTCTTGGCCTCAAATGATCCACTCACCTTGACCTCCCAGGGTACTAAGATTACAGGTGTAAGTCACCGCGCCCAGCCTGAACTTTCACATATGTGAAAGCAAATACAATTTAAAAGCCTTGAGAGGCCAGGTATGGTGGCTCACATCTGTAATCTCAGCACTTTGGGAGGCTGAGCCAGGTATATCACTTGAGGTCAGAAGTTTGAGACCAGCCTGGCCAACGTGGGGAAACCCCATTTCTACTAAAAATACAAAATTAGCCAGGCGCAGTGGCGCGTGCCTGTGGTCCCAGCTACTCGGGAAGCTGAGGCAGCCGAATCGTTTAAACCTGGGAGGTGGAGGAGCCCAGATCGCCCCATTGCACCCCAGCCTGGGCGGCAGGGCGAGACTCCGTTTAAAAAAATAAATAAAATAGGTTGGACACGGTGGCTCATGCCCCTAATTCCAACACTTTGGGAGGCCGAGACAGGTGGATCACCTGAGGTCAGGAGTTGGAGACCAGCCTGACCAAAATGGAGAAACCCCATCTCTACTAAAAATACAATATTAGGCCAGGCGCGGTGGCTCACGCCTGTAATTCCAGCACTTTGGGAAGCCGAGGCAGGCAGATCACGAGGTCAGGAGATGAAGACCATCCTGGCTAACGTGGTGAAACTCCACCTCTACTAAAAAAAAAAAAATACAAAAAATTAGCCGGGTGTGGTGGTGGGCACCTGTAGTCCCAGCTACTCAGGAGGCTGAGTCAGGAGAATGGCGTGAATCTGGGAGGCGGAGCCAAGCTGAAATTGGGCCATTGCACTCCAGCCTGGGTGACAGAGCGAGACTCGGTCTCAAAAAAAAAATTAAAAAAATAGCCAGGTGTGGTGGCACACGCCTGTAATCCTAGCTACTTGGGAGGCTGAGGCAGAAGAATCACGTGAACCTGGGAGGTAGATGTGGTGAGCAGAGATCGCGCCATTGCACTCCAGCCTGGGCAACAAAAGTGAAACTCCCTCTCAAAAAAAAATAAATAAAATAAATAAAAGCCTTGAGCAATATGTGTCATCTGAGTCATGTTGCATGCAGGTGTAACCAGTGTTTCTTAAGTCATAGATAAACCTTCTTCCTCATTGTTCTTGTTCTGCAAATGACTAGGACAGACCAGAGACCAGGCCTCCTCCATTTGTGACCACTGACCTTGGTTACAGATTGACTGCCTCCAGTACTGAACTGTACCTAACACAGACCAGATGGCACAAAAGATGCTGTGTGACTGCTACATCTTCAGGGTGAAATGTTAAATACACCTGCTCAAAAGAAAAAGACCACCTTGACTAATGGGATCACGGTCATTACGTATTAAGCCTTGCCTAGAAAGATGCTGAAATTCTGTTAAGCTTTCCTAAACTTTGTCTATACAAATGATCCCAAACTTCTACACTTCAGAACACTGACTTCTATTCTTTGGAATCTGTGTTTTCCATACAGTTGTCCTCAAACTTTGAGCTTGAATTAGCTCTCTTTAAGCTAGATTTTTTTTTTTTTTTTTGAGACAGAGTCTTGCTCTGTTGCCCAGGCTATAGTGGCTTCTATTCTTTGGCATCTGTGTTTTCCGCACAGTTGTCCTCAAACTTCGAGAGCTTGAATTAGCTCTCTTTAAGCTAGATTTTTTTTTGGAGACAGAGTCTTGCTCTGTTGCCCAGGCTATAGTGGCAAGATCTCGACTCACTGTAACCTCTGCCTCTCAGGTTCATGTGATTCTCCTGCCTCACCCTCCCAAGTAGCTGAGATTACAGGTGTGCGCCACCACGCTTGGCTAATTTTTTTGTATTTTTGTAGAGACACGGTTTCACCATGTTGGCCAGGCTGGTCTCAAGCTCCTGACCTCAAGTAATCCACCCGCCTTGGCCTCCCAACGTGCTGGGATTACAGGCATGAGCCACCGTGCCTGACCATATTTTTCTTGCTTTTTTTTTTAGATGGAGTCTCATTCTGTCACTGAGGCTGGAGCGCAGTGGCATGATCTCTACTCACTGCAACCTCTGCCTCCCGGGTTCAAGCGATTCTTCTGCCTCAGCCTCCCGAGTAGCTGGGACTACAGGCATGCACCACCACACCCAGCTAATTTTTGTATTTTTAGTAGAGATGGGGTGTCACCATATTGGCCAGACTGGTTTTGAACTCCTGACCTCATGATCCTCCCGCCTAAGGCCTCCCAAAGTGCTGAGATTAAGGTGTGAGCCACTGTGCCCGGCCTATTTTTTTAAATGCAAACATTAAAATGAGAAAAAGCACCCGCTTTTTCCTTCTGAGGGGCATGGCCCTTGATCCTCAAATGCACTTGACTAGTGTTTATTAAGAGGGACAACTTTGGTAATGCCTACTAATAACACATTCATATAAATATAATCCAAAGAAGGTTAAATACCATTGCATATTTGACAGTGCTTCAGGTATGATTTTATTATACCAAATAAGCTGAATATGTCTCCTTGGACTTCAGAGGACCTAATACCAACTCATGCCTATAATCCCAGCACTTTAGGAGGCCGAGGCAGGTGGATTACTTGAGGCCAGGAGTTTGAGACCAGCCAGAGCAACGTGGTGAAACTCTGTCTCTAAAAAAATTAGCAGGGCGTAGTGGCACGCGCTTGTAATCGCAGCTTCTCGGAAGCCTGAAGCAAGAGAATCGCTTGAATCCGGGAGGCGGCGGTTTGAGTGAGCCAAGGTCGTGCCATTGGCCGGGCGCGGTGGCTCAAGCCTGTAATCCTAGCACTTTGGGAGGCCGAGACAGGCGGATCACGAGGTCAGGAGATCGAAACCATCCTGGCTAACACGGTGAAACCCCGTCTCTACTAAAAAGTACAAAAAACTAGCCGGGCGAGGTGGCGGGAGGGCCGGTAGTCCCAGCTACTCGGGAGGCTGAGGCAGGAGAATGGCGGGAACCCCGGCGAAACGGAGCCTTGCAGTGAGAAGCACAGATCGCGCCACTGCACTCCGCCACGGGGGGAAACAAGCGAGACTCCGTCTCCAAAAAAAAAACAAAGAAAAAAAATACAATCTCCGGCAATAAAGAAAGGAGAGAGGAGGCTGGGTGCAGTGGCTCATGCCTGTAATCTCAGCACTTTGGGTGGCCGAGGCGGGTGGATCACGAGGTCAGGAGTTCGAGACCAGCCTGGCCAACGTGGACCCTGTCTCTACTAATAAGTACAAAAATTAGCTGGTCACAGTGGCACGCGCCTGTAGTCTCAGCTACTCGGGAGGCCGAGGCAGGAGAATTGCTTGAACCCAGGAAGTGGAAGTTGCAGTGAGCTGAGATCGCACCAGCGCACTCCAGCCTGGGCAACAGAGCAAGGCCCCGTCTCAAAAAAAAAAAAAAAAGAAAAAAAGAAAAAAAGAAAGAAAGAAAAGAGAGAGGAAACAAAAAACAAGGGTAAGGAGCTCTTTGCCTTAAGTTTTACCTTTGCCTTAAAGTCTTCATCTGTAAATCAGGAATAAAAGCGTTTGGCTGTGCCACAACTACCTTGAGAGGGTGCTATGGAGATGTAACATTAGGCTCAATTTGGTCCTGATTCTACACTAACCTTTATCTTTCTCTTTATGACCATAAAACTTCCCCGACGAAAGTCTAAAATGCCCAAATCGGGAGTCATTGGTGGACTGCACCCATCGGTTTCTCCAATGCTCTGTGGGGAGGGGGAAATAACACCGGTTAGAGGTGATAATGGTTAATTTGGCCTAAGGGAAGGGTGAGGGGGACCCTCGAGGATTCGAGAGTTCGATGCCGTCGACCCCGCGACGACTCTGCCCAGCCTTGGGGGGCGCAGATGGGGGAGCTTACACCTCTGCCACTACGGGCGTGGCCCCTTCACCTCCGTCTAGAAATTCCTCTTGGAAATAGACGGTAGCCAGCGCCACTCGCAGCATGCAGATGCCCCAGAGGGGCACCCGAACCCCGGCCATGGGGGCTTGCACTGCGCTTCCGGTCGCCGCCGCCCCTTAGCTCCCGGCGCTCTCTGCGGCTCTTCAGGCGAGTCCCGAAACTACAACTCCCGTCACAACTCGCGATTATGACCTGAGGGTCCCATTGGTAGCTGCGGCGCTGGGCACGTCGGGTCCGCCTGGGAACTACCGTTCCCATGATGCCTCGCGATTGTGATTCGGGACGCCATTGGTCTGCGGGACGCGGTGCTTGCCGGGAGATGTAGTCTCTTCTGCTCTGGCTCTGTTGCTCAGGGCAACCGGTCCCTCAGGCCTGAATGTGGCGGCTGCCTCTGCGAATGGACGGCGTGGGAGGAGGTCGGCAGGGCTGGTGGGGAGGTGACCTGGCTGGGCGTCCGGGCTCGCGAAGGGGATACGGGGAAATGGGGCCTTCTCCGTGGCTGAGCTGGTTGGGCAGCTGCAGGATGGTCCCGCGCCTCAGTCTCCCTGCCTGGAGTCTACTGGAGCGTGGTCCTGGGCGGGTCGCTTCATAGCTGGGGAGAAGAGCAGGATGGTCTGACGGGCGCCAGGGTTTTCAAATTTTGGTTTGTTGGTTTTTAACAACTTTGTTGAGCCTTTATTTACATACCATAGTGTTCGCCACTTTTAAGCTGACGACTCCGTTATTTTTAGTAAATCTACAAACCTGTGAAGTCGTCGCCGTCATCCAGTTCATCCAGCTTTAGAACTTTGCGTCAGGCGGGGTGTGGTGGCTCACGCCTGGAATCCCAGCACTTTGGGAGGCAGAGGCGGGAGGATCACCTGAGGCCAGGATATCCAGACCAGCCTGGGCAACATGGCGAGACCCCATCTCTCAAAAAGATAAAAATAAAAAATTAGCCAGGTGTAGTGGCTCGCGTCTACAGTCCTAGCTACTCGAGATGTTGAGGTGGGAGGCAGGATTGCTTGTGTCCAGGAGGTCAAAGCTGCTGTGAGCTGTGATCATGCCACTGCACTCTGGCTAATTTTTTGTATTTTTAGTAGCGATGGGGTTTCACCATGTTTGCTACATTGATCTCGAGCTCCTGACCTCACGTGATCTGCCAGCCTTGGCCTCCCAAAGTGCTGGGATTATAGGCGTGAGCCACAGCACCAGCCTGATCTGCTTTCTGAGTTTATTGGTTTGCATTTTCTTGACAGTTCTTACAGATGAAATGATAGGGTGTGTGGAGTTTAGTGTCTGGCTCCTTTTTTAAATTTTTTTTTTGAGACAGAGTCGCGCTCTGTCACCCAGGCTGGAGTGCAATGGCGTGATCTCAGCTCACTGCAAACTCCTCCTCCCACGTTCAAGCAATTCTCCTGCCTCAGCGTCCTGAGTAGCTGGGATTACAGGCGCACGCCACCATGCCCCGCTAATTTTTGTATTTTTAGTAGAGACGGGGTTTCACCATGTGGGTCAGGCTGGTCTTGAACTCCTGACATCATGATGCACCTGCCTCGGTCTCCCAAAGTGCTGGGATTACAGGCGTGAGCCACCGGGCCCGGCTTGGCTACTTTCCCTTCATATGATGTATTTGAGATTCCTGCATGCTATGATATTAGTATTTGTTTTTTAAATTGCTGAACAGTATTCCACTGTATGGATGGACCATAGTTTGTAATCCATTCACTAATTAATGGATAGTTACATTGTTTCAGCATGTTAGCCAGGATGGTCTCAATCTCCTGACCTCATGATCCACCCGCCTGGGCCTCCCAAAGTGCTGGGATTACAGGCGTGAGCCACAGCGCCCGGCAATTGTCTCCCCTTCCCCCACAGAATGGCTTCTGCAAGGAAAGCCAGCTGTCCCATACGCGATGTTTTTGGTGACTTCAGTGACACTTCCTTAGAAGATTCAGCAATGGAAGAAATCAGAAACTTCCAGATCAGTAGAAATCTTACCAAAATAGCACCTGGTCATAGCAGATTTCTAAAAAGAAACCAAACTCTAGGTGAGAAACACTTACTCCTAAAAGAGAACCCTGTACTGGGGAGTGGACCCAGCCTTGCCTCAAGTAGACCGCCCACCACTGACTCCAGGGTCCGAGCCAATGCCGCACTCAGGAAGCTGGCCCAGCTGGAAACCCGGATCATGAATCGGAAGCTGCAGAGGAATTTGTCTCACACAGAATCTGACTCAACGACCACCAACGCCAGTCTTCCAAAGAGAGCTGACAGAATCCTCTCCCGGGGTGCAATCGAACTTGCGTCCCAGAACACAGACAAAACTTCCCAGAATCAAGCCCGTGAACTTCCTGTCACCGAAAATAATGCACAGAACCCAAAGGTTAGTAGGTTTCTAAAGAAGAAACAACCATCTGTTGAAAACATATCCCCTGAAGCACCTGTTGGGAAAGAGAGGACTTTGCAAACCCCCAAACAGAAAGAACCTGCTAGAACATTTGATTCTCCAGACAGTGATGAAGAAGAAATGAAAGTATTGCTAGGAAGCTTGATGGACTCTTCTAGAGAAAACCGACCATAGCTCCCGTGGGCTCGAAGCAATTCCTCGGCTCGAACCACTCAGCCCTTCCAGATGCAGCTATGGACTACCTAAACAAGCATGGGCCACCCACACCCGTGCGGCCAGACGGTTTTGTTGTTGTTTTGTTTTTGTTTTTTGTTTTTTCTTGGGGGATTAGGTTTGCCATGGCTGTTGCCGAACTCGGCCCGTTGACCAACAGCTGAAAGCAAATGCTACCGCCCAACTACAGCCTTGTGTTCCCCAGAGGCTCCCTGGGATTACAAGGTGTGAGCCACTCAATAATCTGTGTCCGAGTACCTCCAAGTTCCTTATGGTGTCCCAACAGACCACGGTGCAATTAGGGCGGCCGAGCATGAGACCGAACAGCCCCTCCCGCGAGGATCCCACGAATTTTTTCTCTTACTAAAAAATACTACGGCATCCCCCGATTTTCTCCTCTCTTCATTTCTGAAAAGTCACGGGTACAGGTATGTTAGAAGGCCTAGAGATAATGCTTCAGGAGTGTAAAGAAAATAGAATTCGCCCAGTGCTCGGGTGGGTGGGGTGGCGTCTCCAACACCTGGTAATTCCCCCCCATCGCGAGTTGGTAAAAAAAGGCTGAAGGAGGTGCAGATTTCCACAGCGATGTCCAGAGATCTAAGGACCATCGTGGTCAACAATGTGAGAAACCGGTCCAAAATCTCTCCTGTACTGAAAATACAAAAAACTTAGCCGGGTTGTGGTTGG